CACAGGTGCCCAGAGAGAATGATTTACCATGCTTGTGCCCTACGGAAGTTACGTGAGTATAAGGGCATGCAGGATGGCCTGGTCAAACTAGCGGAGAGACCAGAGTTCAAGTCTGCTCTCCAAGGGGAAGCAGACAAACGGAAGCTAGTTCCCGATCAAATTAAAGCCTGTGTTCCTCACCTCTACCATAAACTGTCTCTCCACGCGCATGGCAATGACGGTATGATAACTATCCGTGAAAAAGATTTTCATTTTCACGAAAGAGCAGCTCTCGTGGCCCTGATGAGCATGCAGGGCAAGTGGCCAAATGGGCTTGCCTGGAAAGAAGAATTGGTAGTGAGGAAGAAGAAATAAGCACCACATAGCAATTGAGATCTGGTTTTTTTCCCGCCGCTTGCAGTGTACCACCTCTCTTCCTATATGCAGTGAGCCTTTGGTTCTAGCTAGGATCAGTATCTCGTGTTCCATGTTTTACAATGCTATGTACTGCCCTCGAAAGGACACCGCCGTTCCGGTTCAAGTGTGTCCAGAGTTGTTCCACGGTTTGGTGGCAGAAAAACGACTTTCCTATTGGAAGGATTCTGTTTTTTCAGCAATGATCAGAACGTCTCAGCTAAGCCTTATTCTTCTCCACTGGGGTGCCCGGCGTGTGGTATCGGTTTTCGAAATAGATCTCCCGCACTGGAGGAATAAACAGAGCATCGTCCCAGAGCCTCGACGACAAATGCCCGAAATCCCCTCCGCTCCCTCACCACCGGTAGTGCCTCCCCTGCCCAGGTGGCGGCTTCCCTGTTCTCTCCGGAAGCTCATCCTTCTTTCTCTCCTCTTCCGCACCGACAATACTCCGCCAAGAAAGTCCCTGGGCGCCCCTACCCCCCACATCAAGCACATTCTTAACGTCCTGCTCCTCCCCTCCCTGCCGAGCACCCAATCACCGCCCAACCACCTCTGCAGCCCGGCCAACGAAGTCAAGCACTGCGTGTAGAGCCCGGCACCACCGCAGTGAAAAACACATCAGCATCGATACTCGACATTGGAATGTTAGTCAGGTTCAAGGGAATAGTCAGCTCATGCTGATTTCGCGACTTCAAGTATGTAGGCGAGAATTGGAAGTGTGGACCACCGAGAGCCCTACTGGACTATTTTCCGGGAGATTGACGAGCAGATGAAGGAGCTACTCTCAGAGCAGCTTAGCGATATCCGATATCCGGCGAGAGTCTGACATGACAAAAGTATTTTGTGCACATACTTCATCACCTTTGACCGAATAACAAAAGCGATGCCGACAGCCGGGCATCGTTTAATCCAGGTACTGATAGATGCCTAAATTATCTGTCAACAGAAGAATTGGATACACAGAGTGCCACGGAACTAGGGCTGGTTTCCCGAATGTTCTCTAATGAGCTTGCGCTGCGCGATATTTGCGAGGAGCAGATTCCACATGCACTTGCGGTTACCAAAGGTAGAAGGGAGAATGTTGCCGACGATCTTTGTTTTCATATGGGAGAGTACTTTCTGCATTCAGGTTCCTACAACAATGTAGAAGCACAGATCTGTCGATGTATCACGTTTGGCCAGAAGAATCCGGAGCAAACCTTGGTTAAAGGACATAGCAGATTTATCCTCCTGGGGAACGTGAGGGCCTCCCAAGGAAGGGCAAAGGAAGCAGAGGAGATACTTCGGAATGTGCTAGAGAATCTTGGGGCGCCATTGGGTCCAACCGATTCTGACGCATTGGAGTGCTTATCCTTCGTACCTGGCAGATGTGATGTGTCAGCGCGGAAAGTACCAGGAATCAGAGAAGATGAATCGACGTGCACTCGACGTGCATGAGAGGACTCTGAGGCTTGACCACCAAGACACCCTAACCAGTACCATTAACCTATCTGTGGCGCTGCGATACCAGAGAAAGCACAGTGAGTCGGAGATGCTGAATGGGCGCGCATTCGAGTGGCGTGACATGGTGCTCGGACCGTACCACCCAGTTACCCTGACGAGTGCCGAAAACCAGGCTTTGGTGCTGCGACGCCAGGGAAATTACGGTGAATCAGAAAGGCTGCATCGCGATGCAGTTGGGGGACGCGAGAAGGTCTTGGGACTAGACGTCTCCGACACCCTAGGAAGCCTCAACACCCTGGCTATTGGATTGGCTATTACATGCAAGAGATACCTGTATACCGAGGAAGTGTTTGAACATTTTCCTTCTTTTCACCGGTTATTTCCTATTGTTTCAGGTCGTCCCCTCTATGTTTGGTGCCTGCAGCCTTTGCGACGCCTGCTCCCACTGTGGTCTTGGTGGGCAATCGTGATGTTTTCGTGAGAATGTTGCGAATGAAGAGGTTGGCCAAGAATGGCCTTACGAAAACTTATTTGTCGGAGCCAGTTGGCTAGGAGCAGATCGGAGGAGGGCACCCATCCGCAACCTCTACCCATTTTATGGAAGTCTTACTATCATAGGATAGCCAGGATCCGAACTGTTCTTGCTGTGTGGCGGGTTACATATCCCAAGTATGTGAGAACTGAAGTTTTGCTCCGCAGGATATAAATCTTGGTGTGGTGTGAACAACACTCCGCTGGCGTTGGTGCGAGCGTTATCAAGCTTGTGTAAACAATATTGTCAACACGATCCCTCAACAAGTGTCATATTGAAGAACTTTTTATAAGCTATGACTGGCGCAGCAAAGCCTCCCTCTTGCACATCTTATCAGCAAGCACCCATTGCCCCTAGAATGCTGCCATCCCGAACAGAATAATAATAATAAAAAGGTACACTTCAGTCACACTACCACCAGAACCACCCTAACCGGAGCCCCTCCACAGTAGCCAGCTACTCGCATTTTCCCGGTAAACGGTCATCGCTTTCGCGACTCTGGTGCATGTGCTCCCCTCAGCTGGGGTATCCTGTCATGCGATTTTTGTCTGCAGAATCTCTCTCTCTCGGTTACAGCCTCCGCGATCCTCACATATCGGCCTCCTATTTGCGACTACTATCCAATTAGCTCCAGCAGCTGCGACAAAGACAATAAGTAGTTCCCTGCTCCTGGGGTTGAACTCGGAAAAATATAATGACACGCAGGTGATAACGGGGATGTTTCAAAACTATAGGGTTTCTGAAACAAACTGCGTTGTGTGTTCGATGTACGATGAACGGAAAATAGGAGCTGTTTGTGGAGATTCTGGTGGAGTGTTTTGTTGAGTTGTTTGTGGTTCGGGCATTTGGAAGGCAACCGCGAAGCAAGCGGGATTTAAATCCTCATTCTCCCCCCCCGACAACAGGCCACCATCTGTCTGACGGGTGCCAGAGGAATAGATGTGAGAGCTACTTTTCCCAGCCGTAAGTACCAGAAAACAAGGAGGTATAATGCTGGTTAATTTCAAAAATTCGTAGCAAACTAACTACAAGTGGAATCCAAATCCTGGTAACCGACTTACAGGCATGTTTTAGGTAAGCGCTCAGACAAGCACGATTTGCCAATATATTTCTTCAATCTTTGTTTTCTGGTGGTTAGACTATGGCCTAGGACAAGTACAACGAAACCCTGGTCCAGGTGTCACATCCCAGGCTAGAGTGCACACTCGGTGAGCATTTCATCCTCCCTCACTGCGTCGATATTTCCCTCTATCAACATCACCAGCAGGCACACCATCGCCCCTTGTCGCAACCACCGAAAAGCTTAAGGACTTTCTGACGACCCAACGCGTCGGCCTCGTGCATATAACTGAATTGCAGAAGCGTAGCGCGGAGCTGATGGAAGAGCGAGGCCGCGAGGCTGCCGGGAAATTACAACAAATGCGCACAAGCGGGGGCCGGGGAGGCGCCCACCGACGGTGGCGGCGGCAAGAGAACGGAGAAGCGTGGGAGGGTTGCCAAGGGGCAGTAATCATTCGCGGGGGAGGACACTCAGGATAATGGCACGGATGATGGCGGCGATCATTCACACGCCCATTTAACGAGGCCCTATAGCGAGGATAACAATAAGGGCAGGGAGGAGGATGAGATGGAGAAACGGAAGGTGAATCCAAAATTGGGCCCGCCGCTTCGCGGGGCTTGATGATGAATACTCTTTTGAGGGCGGCTCGGGAATGGGAGACGTTGAGGAGCGAGTTTTCGGCCACCAGGAGAAGATTAACAACGAGGAGATTTGCATTCCATTTGTCTTTTATGATCGCAGGTGTTATTAACACCCTGGCTTCGGGAGTTGACCCAAAGCTAACACCGACTGGGTACCAATGTCGCGCCTCCAACAAGAGAAGTCGTGATGGGCCGGACGGGCTGGGCTATATGGCTATTTCCTGAACATGCTACGAGAATGGCTGGACGCAGGGAGTAGCTCAGAGCATCGGTGGCTGACTTACTACTGGTTTTCCGGGAAGTGATAATACCGCACGTACTTCTCCCGGGCCGCCCACCTCCTCCCTCAGTGATCGCTAACCCACTCGACAGGCTGGACTCTAACACCCATCGCCAATCGCCGAATGGGGCCCAACGGTTTATTGTTCGACATCCCCTGCACCGCTATCGTCCACCCCCCTAATCTATACTCGGAACCCCAGATGGGATGACTCGACAGTGAGCAAAGTGGTGGATCGTCGATGGTGCAAGCAGAATAAGCACGTATTCGCCGCCAGGGTATGGATGGAATTCTATCCTAGTACGGATGGCTCCAACACGGTACGACGCGATGTGAGTGGGAATGCCTTCTTGGTTGAACTAACCACCATTGTAACAACCGACTTTGGCTGCCCGCCGATGGAGGTGAGGAAGATTGAGCACCAGAATATCCCTCAGCACACCATAGTATGATACTATACATGCTATGCTCTGATCTTTTTTTTGCCCACTTCTTCTTTGTTTTCTCCTTTACCCTCCGCCGGGTTGACACGGTGGGCTACGGGACGGCCTAATCGTGGGACCCTAAACCTTTTCATGATCAATGAAACTAATGATTGGATGCGCCACTCCATGACAAGTACGGGGATGCGTCGTCGTCAGGTTCCCCCAGTGCTACACATTCTCGACGGGGGTAGTTCCCCGTCTCTGCAACAGCATCTATTTTCTTCCTCACAATGTACCCGATCATCATCACCCTCATCATCCTCACAACCCTCCACTTCTTTGGCCTTAACATTACGTTATAATGGATGGATTTGTCCCCCGGTGCAGCCACCTCTGGCCCCGAGCTCAAACGGATGGCTGTTCTATTGTCACCATTTGCAGGTATTCATCCTCTTGACCCACGTGGACAAACACATGATACCGCTCTAGCCGCTGGATTGCAGTTAAATTCCCTAATATAGCAACATAGGCCACTGGAGCAATTCTCCGGGATGTGAGTAAGCTCCACAACCAGCATCCGGGTCTCCATCGGGAATATCCCTCACGTGAGCCGGGTAGAAATGGTTTCCCGATTACACACTGAATCCCCCAGCATACCCGCCCAGCTCTTGGGGCCATTCATCCATCTACAGCACTGAGGTTGGTTCACTCTTCCTCACATTTTCTAGTCACATTTACTGCCTCCCATGTGCCACTGCCCTTCAGCTTATCGAGCCTCCTCTGAACGATCAGCGAACCCATCCGGCCTACAGCACAGCCCTCTCCAAGCCTGACGACGCCGTGATCGCGCTTCTAAATCCGAGCAACGACTACAAGACTGGTGCTCTCAGTGGACTTAGTCCAAGTCCCACAATAGGAATATGCACTCGTGTGCTCACCCTCTAGACTTATCAAGTGAGCAAGTAAATATCGGCGTTGCCCCATTCCCACTCTCAGGTGAGGCATTAACCATGGCCAGGGTTTACTTTCAAGAACATGTTGCAAAACCCTTATGAACGCGGGAATCTTAGATTGGAGGGGAGAATGAGAAGATTGTTCGCGGTGCTGATGCTGAAATATCAGCGCCGCATAAAATGAGTGGTAGAATGGGGCTTGTTGAGGATAAATTAAGGAAGAATCATGTGTTGGTTCGGCGATGGAGAGAGAAAGCAAGGAAGCTGGTACAAATACAGGTACTCGCCACTCACATTTGCCATTCCCCATAAGAGGCCCCGTGCTGACACTGCATAGGAACTCTACCACGAGCGTAAACGCCAAACATTAATCTCCCAAGTGCAGCAGGCCGCTGCCGTCCAGGCTGATCAAGCCCTATATGTGGCTTCCGGCAAATCTCCCGATGCCCGGCAATTACAGGACCCCCGGGCAAGACTGCGCGAAACTATCCACCCTCGAATTCGGCCTGGCCTGGGGCCCGAATACACCATAACCGGCGCGAAGATCGGGAGCATTCAGGGCCTGAATGCCACAGGCCCTGGAGGAAGGGGTAGTGAATCCTTGAGACGTCCAGGACAGAGACCTGCCAATGGCGCGAGCATACTCTTTAATGGTAGATATTCCCTCTTTTCAATCCCTTCACCTCACCCCCCTCAACGATCGAGTAGATAAAATTCCCTTCCTGTCAACGCTTGAACACCCAATCCACAGCTATACAATTCTCCGGTATACAGGACGAGTACTGTAGACCACCTCTAACGGGGCTTAATGGGAATACTGGGGGTGGGGGGATGGGAGATGGGGGCAAGGATAGAAGGCTTGTGGACGAGGATGGGAAGGTTGTTCTTGATTAACATTGAAGAGGAAATCTTGATTTTCTCGCCCCCATGATGGTAGTGATGCTGGTAATGTTTGGACACTGATTTGGCCAACTTTGTGACACTGGCGAACTGTTTTTTCTTTGCCTCCCTCTCTTCTGTTTTCTAATCCATTGGTTAAAACAAATGGATCGGGAGGAAGGGGGATTTGAAGCAAATGATGTGCTATCCTTCAATTGATTTCTATAAGAGGGCAAATACCAATGCTACTCTATACATACGTAGTTCCAGGCCAGTAGCGTTCCTAATGTATTCACAAAGCTCGCACAGGCCTCCCAGAAATCTCGAGATTACGCCAATGAATGCCTCAACAAAGCCATTCCGGTTAAGGCAAAACTTTCTTAGGGTGCGGTATGATACCTCACTGTACTCCGCTTCAACCTATACATCTATCCACGACCCCTCCCTTGTCCGGTCCTCTGAAGAGGACTTCGCGGGCAATCCACCGAAACACAATAATCCTCGCCGAAGCATAAGTGGCCTACAGGGAAAACAGTAGATGATGTGGGTCGGGCAAGCAAATCAGTGGGCAGAAATTAAGATCGTTGACGTAAACCGGATACCATCACCCAACGACACCCGATGCAGGGAGAATAACCTCACTTGTAGCCAAATTAACAGTGTCACGCCCGGTCGGGAACACACATGTGATTATAGTAGTATGCATCGCGAGATGGAGAGCAGCGGGATCAAGAAGGGGCGTGGTTGTTGGAGCGGTAGAGCATGTGGTATCATAGCATGTTTCGTATGGAGGGGGAAGGCGGGGGGTAAGGTAGCGGAAAGGCGGGAGAGGTGAGTCTGCTTATGAATCTAATACCGGGTTGTTAGCAGGGTGAGTGATGTCTGGTGGTTCTGGAGATTGTCTATATCAGGCTATATATACAGCACTGGTAGAGTATCATATGGCGGAGGTTTGACTTAGGGGGTTATGTTTTTTCTTTTCTTCTCTTTTCTCCTTTCTGGTTCCCCTCCCCAGTTTTTCTTCAGTATAGATTGGTACGCCCCGCTTGGAACTCTTGACCTGTATTGTGATGCGATCCACCGGTCGACTGAGATCGCGACATGACCTGGTGCACCGTACCGTGCTTTGGTACGATACTTGCGTCCACAATATTCGGGGCTTGCGGGATAGAACCTCAGGTATGATACCGCACCAACTGCAGCAGTAGATATTGTTATCATACTGAGGCGGGGAGGAAACCTTTTCCAATGACGCTGTTTTTGGAAAAATCGGGTAACGGTAGGTTCCATGAGAGATTTTCCTATCTATTTTTGTTCTGCCGCTGTCCCTTTTCATCCGGTCAATTGCTTCTGCCGTTTTCCTGTGGAACTACGGAGACATTGTGAACGTTAATAGAACTCTGTGAACAGGGGTGTAGGGCACAGTGGGGTTTACTCTAATAAATGTGGTTGATTTCCCCTACATGTAGGATCTCATAGGGGGTTGCGGGGATATATCTCCGCCTCTGGTAGGGAGGAAAAAAAGGAAAAAAAACCCACCAAGATATAAGAGAGGGGAATTCCAACTATCAGGCCCAAACTCGGGGGCGCCAATATCCGCCATCGCGCCCCTAGTCCGAGCCCCAAAGGAAACCAAGGGCTGGGGATGCCCGGGTGATGTGGGGTATACCGTGCGGATGGAGGCTCAGCGAGGCGGAGGAACGGGGTCGGCTACCTTCAGGGCATGTACAATAGGTCACCGCCTCTCCACGATCTCAAGCCGTACTGGCGTCCACAGGTTTGTAGGCCTGTATTGGCCCGGCTCTCTCGGGATGCTGGCTTTGGGTGGCCAACGGCAGCCGTGTCCTGCCCGTGTTGTCGGAAGTGTCGGGATCGATATCTCCACTCCCGCGGAGCAACTGGACTACTTCCAAATACCCCTCGTTCACAGCGAACATGAGCACCGTTTGGCCCTGCCTGTCTCATTCTCCGCTGTAGACATCTTTCTCGCCGAGCAGTTTCCCCACCCCCCTTACATGTCCATTGCGTACCGCCCACATTAATGGAGTCCACGACAAGGTGGCGGAAATATCAGGCCTGACGTTCTCGCGCTCCAGCAGGACCTGCACAACACCCTCGTGCCACATTCTCGCAGCGAACTGGGGTGGCGTGTCGCTGCAGATGCCACTCCGGCTGAGATCGACACCCTCCCGCTCAATCAGTATCCACACCACCCCCTCCTGTCCCATCAGGGTGGCCAGGATGATCGGTATCCGGCCATGCATGTCGTGCCCTGCGGGGTTGGCGCCTTTCCCTTCCACCAGTATCCTTACCACCCCCTCGGGCCCATTGTGTGCAGCCCCGGCAAGCGGGTCCATCCGCATGCATCCCGACTTCCACGGTTGATACCTTCCGCTTTAGGAAGCCGCGCCACCACCCCCTTATGTCCGTTGGTAGCAGCCCACCCCAGCGGCGTGAACTGGGCCTGATCAGGATTGTCAGTGGCAAAGGCATTCCTCTCGAGAAGCAGCGTCACGACTTCCTCGTGCCCCCTCATCACCCCGGCTAGTGATGTTCGGCGCGCCGAGTATTTGACGGAGAGGGAAGCGCTGATAGTAGGGGCAACTCCATCGTTCGCGGGAGCTTTCCTCATCCTGCGCGATCAGTAAGCCTTAGGATCTATCATAAATTTTATATTATCAGTCACCCAAACACAGCTTTTGTTGCACTTGACCAGACGCGGACTTGGGTGAGGAAACTGGACCATAAGTAGAGTAGTGCAAGTTCCGGGGGTACCTTCCCCTGCCGCCAGCGCACAAAAGGCTATAGCCCACCTCTCCAGCCACCAATAAAAAACCTAATATCCGTTCTAAAGGCGGCACAAATCAGACCCCTAGATCCGAGAAGTTCCCCATGCAGAGCTCTTCCCCTGGCACAATCCTCAAGAGATCTTATCCGGGGACATCGTCTAGGTGCCGTGTAAGAATGGCGAACCATTTTCCTGGGTGCTGCTGAAATATTCGGTTGCACGGCATTTGTTGGAAATCACAGCATGCTGCGAGGCATGCTCATCCGAGTCCCCTCCCCTCATGCATTCCTCTCCTTTCTTTCCTTCCTTCCTCCCTTTTCTTCCGTAATCCCCTGGTTCGTTCGCTCGGGCGCGCGGGGCCGAAGTGTTGGCTTCCGGGCGTGGATGGGGGGGATGGGAATGGTACGGTGCGCCGGAAGTAAGCCCTAGGCAGTATACAGAACCGTAACGGACGGCAGGAGTGCGCGGCTGAAAGGGTGGCGGAAAGGCAGTGGGAGGCTGTGCGGGAGGCCAGAGAGCGATAAGAAAAGCGGGGTTCTGGAGGGGCCATAGGTTTGTTAATTTGTTGTTTGTGCCCAAGTAAGGACTTCCCTAGTGGCCGAGAGCGAGACTTTGACTGCTTCAGGGTCAATATTCACTCCTATTCTTTCCGTTAGTTTTGGAGTTTAGTTACTTGCGCACGATCGATGGTGTTAGAGAAAGAGAACGAAAGAAAAGTTTTTTCCTACCCCCTCCTCAGGCGGTTGTGGGAGGGCTTGGCGTTTCGCTTCACCGAGTGACCGGCTGTGGTACCGGGCGGCACCAAAAAGCATTGACACCACAATCTTGCTCCGGGACCACGTAACAAAGCTACCATTAGGGATGTGGCTGAAAGTTTAGTCGCGGATCATCGGCAGTATTAACCTGTATGGCCGAAGGCGGAACCGGCGAGGAGGGAGAAGTTGTACTATATGTGGTATGTTAAAGTGTGAGCAGGAGCGGGGGTTCGTGAATGGAGAAGAATAAATTAGCGGTGTGTAGGAAGCCAAAGAAGGATTTTTGTACAGTCAGGGGTATCGTATCGGACTGGGTGCGGAAGAGTTACTCTGCGAAGAAGGGTTCTGTGGAGAAGGATGGTCAGAGTGCGGGGCATAAAAGACAGAAAGGACAGGGGGCGAAGAAGGCTAAGAAATGATGATTATGGGCTTTCCAAACATCTCTGTAGCTTTGTTCCTAGCCCGGTAGCTTGTAATTTACGATGCTCAATACTAGATTAAAAAGGTAGCCCTCCATTTGGTCAAACAATAAGTATCATAACCCCGTTAATACTATATGCAACAAGCCAAATCAATGCTCACAACCGTCTACAATCGGACCACTCATCATCCATATCATATCACAGTCCCTCCCCCTGAGCTAATAGTCCCGCTGCCATCTCTCGCACCACAAACCTCTGTATCTCCCTACTGGCAGTCTCCGGACAGGCGCCCTCCCAGAACACATGTTCTAGGACTATCACTACATTAGCCTTTCGCCCTAATATGTCTCAGATGCTACCTGGGAGCATGTTATAACTTACCAGAATGATGCGACAACTTCTCCCGAATCCACTTCCGAACCTCATTCACTGCCAAAGCCCACTTCTTCCTAACAAACCATACCACAACCCAGGTGTATATTTTGCCCTTGAGCCCTACAAATGAAGACTCGGCAATCCTTGGATGGGCAAATAGGTAATTTTCGATCTCAACAGGGTGCTTCGAGTATTATCCCATAGCAACACCGGTCGAAGATTCCAGAGGACCTATAATGGTTTCCCCACCCCACATGATCAGATCTGGTAATATCCCGGTAATCTTGATATACCCGCTCTCGCCCAATTCTGCTTCGTCTTCAGCCCACCCTGTCCAATCCAATCAACCAGCTCTATGACGCAAGTGTTGAAACTCGTGGGCGTTCCATCTAATAGTTGGCAAAACAGCACATGGTTATGGGATATAGTTGGAACGCATGCAGGGAATGCTATAGTTTGTTTTGGATTGATGTCGAGAAAGTGTTTCATGTTGTTTAGAATAGAGCTAGGATCTATTAGCTTAGAAGAAAGAAGACACGGAAGAGTTTTGGATGGTTTCATTAGTTAGTGTTTGGGTCTATCTGGTTAGCTTGTAACAGATGATACTGGCTTGTGTCGGACCAAGAGGATGGTGGAACATATCGGGAGAGTGGTTGCAACCATTACCGGAAATGTCCTTACCTCCTCCGGTGGATGAGTTGGGAGCAAGGCACCGGTGTTGCGCATGGGAAGCAGAGTGGAAGACGATGCAAGGAACTTGGGAATTCTCTTGATATTTTCTTGAAGTCAGATTGTGTATAAGTAGGACACCTCCAACATGATAAAGAAAAATAAGAGCCAATCAGCCACTCTCATATGATCATTGCCTATTTTGAAGAGCAAGGGAGTAAGCAGTACAGGTGGCGCAGGAAATGATTTACATGCCTCCCCAACTTCCCGTTCTCATTTTGAACCCCAGCCATTATATAGCTATTCTACAGCCAACCATGAGATCAGGTCTCTCACTTACCCACAACAGATAGCTACACTCCCACCCTATCTGGGGGCTTCATTAGCCTCCCCCTCCACATCTGCAGCATTTGAGGGTCGCATACTCAGCTCTCTCAGGCTCAACTCTCTATGCAACATCTTCATCAACACCTTCAGAATACCACTTCCGGCCGCAATCCCTGTCCTTCCATGCTTGAACTACCTCGGCCCACCCTCCTTACTAGCTAGCCGTTCTAGCTCTGCTGTGAACACTGTCGGCGTAACGTACAGTTCTGTGCACTTTTCCTGCTGCGTGGTGTGAAGGGTGGCCTTGTGGCCCAAGTCGCATTAGTGATATTTATGGGTTCCCACTGCTAATGCTATTTCTTCGACTATCAAATGCAGGTGCACCTGGGCTGAGTTGTTTTCAGAAGCATCTGAGAATTACAAGTATACTTCACACCTTCCACCACTATCCTGTAGCCCAAACGAGGGTAACGACGGACACATGCGTACCCGCGCTATGTACAAATCATCTCATCCTCGGATCAATCCAAAGTAGCCATTGAAAGAAATACCAAGCACAACACCACTCCTCCAACTCCCACTGCTTTTCACCCTTATAACATCAATCAAAATCCCCCTGCTCCGTCCAGCGTTCCAAGCCGTCCAGGGAGCCGGCGGAGCCCCATGGTGGGACTGGTGAGAGCTTTGGATGGGAGGGGACGGGACGGCCATATGTAGTCCGTCCCAGGCCGTGATAGTGAAGGACGGCCGTCTTTAGGTAGAGCAACGGTCCCTATGGGGTCAAACAGCGTGTACAGAGGACGGCGGCAGACTACTGGCGACTACCGAGAACGACATATTATACCACAAACACCCTCAGACATGGTTGAAACCCTATGGCCGGCACGGTCATTTTCTCCATAGGATTTCAGGTAGTAGGACAGCAGTCCCCCGTAGTCCGCCCTAGCACTGCCAAAAGGACGAACTACCTGTTGTAGTCCGTCCCGTCCTCCCACAAAGACGGGAGGACTGGATGGTTGGGAACACCGATTATGTCTCCTGAGAACGGAAGAACCGGCATCCCAACATTCACGGTATCCGGACGACCCAAACCGATCCAACTGGGTTCCATGGAAGTTGTGAAGGAGGTTTGGGCTATGGAGGGAGAGGAGTACAGGGGCAACTTCGTCGTGGTTGACGGGGCTGCTCTCCTTCCTCACGGCTACCAAATTTCCACCAGCAATCCCGATACCCCCGTCACCCCCCAATCGCTTCACAGTTTTGAAACACTTGTGAAGCAGGAACCCCGCGTTCCCCAAAGCATATTCAGGGAACGGAGATTGCAATCACGCTATGGATTTTGTGTCGATATCAACTTTTGGACAGGGCAGGAGAAACCAGATGCCTAGACCAGGGTAGCGAGTATTCTCTCATTTCTGGCATACCAGTGCCTGCCTTGCTGAACCTAGCTATTAGAAAGGTTGGGGCGTGGGGCGACCATAGGAATAGAGAATCTCCGCGGCTTCAAGGGTGTGGTCGTGACAATGACGGAAAATGGTTTGGATTTCAAGCGGTTGAGTAAAGTGAAGCGCAAAACCCGAGGGGACACCATGATTGAACTTGGGGGGAAGAGAGACAAATGGGAGTTTTCCAGGGCGGTTAAGACCCTGTTGTAGTGGGTTGAAAATATTCACTGTAGAAGGAGAGTTGAATGAGGGGCAGTAATTGAGGTCCATTCGACCCTTAGGTTATTATTGCAATACAACTTTTTTCTTTATTCAGTGAGGGTGAAGAGGATTGCTTCGGAGGCATACCTCGGTGTTAATCATTGCTATCAATATACTGCATCCCCATATCGTCTACCGCTAACCACCTGTGCCACCTAATATAGTCTCACAGTACTTCCATGATAAATGGAACCTTCGGCCCGGAGGTTCCATGAAAGGTTTTAGGCGCTGGCGGTCACGGCTGATCACTCGGCCAAATGAAATGCCGAGCACTAAAGAAAGCAGGTTATGAAAAAACTCTTCATCGCTACTCTGTCTCTGTTATCAACACCCCCTCTATTGCGCGCTACTCTGCTAACTACTAACCACAAAACTAACAGGAAAAACAGGAGTAGAGATCAAGCAAATCTCACTCCCCCCCTCCCCTGAGGTAGGTGCTCACCCACCCCGACAAACAAACCACAAACTGACTACCAAACAAACTCACAAAGATCAAACACCGAGTCTCCTTCCCTTTCCTTCCGCGCACAGTCTCCTCCCGGCCGTCCCACTGCCTTGCGCTTTCCTTCCTTCCTCCGGGACGTCTTCCTTCGTGCTGCCTCGCTCCACAGGCGCACCAGAGCGTGCCCGTCACCTCGTGGCGCACCCACGTGCAAGCGAACGAAGGAACGAAGGAACGGACGAACCACAAACGAGCAACGGGAAGGAAGGATGGAATGGTAGGAGAGGGGGTGGGCGGGGTGCCAGGCCTATGAGTCCGGCCAAGTATTCCAAGCAGAATTTCAACAAAAGGCTGCATAATTCTCCTGGCTCTCCATAATCCTCTTCATCTCTCTTTATTGCCACCGCTTCCGCCGGGTAAAGTATCCCGCCAATTGTTTGGTGTTTTTAACTTTCGAGAGAAGCTTTTCTTGCTGGAGGGGCCAGTCTATTGTTATGAGATGCTGGCCTTCGAGAAGACTAGAAGATAAAGAGGGAAGAAATAAAGATGTCGAGCTGGTAGTTTTAGATGCGAGTATCTTGTATCTTTTGTTGCTTATCCTTTTATATAAGCAACAGGAAAGGACTTTATATAGACAAATCAAGAGCACTCCCGACATAGTGTTCCAGCCACCACAAGAAACAAAACAATCACAAACACACCGTGCTTCTCCGGGGGTGCCTCCGGTTGGTCCCATACAATGCCGGAGTTCTAGTACCTTCGCTCAATGAGAAATACATGACTCAGGCATATAGAGAAGAATAAACTGACAAAGGAGTGACAAATAGAAAATAACACAGGAGAGGTATTTATCCGTTGACCGAGATCCAAGCACACGGAATGATAGCCGGTGATATTCAACATATCATTCAATCCTCACATCCCAATACTGGACAATGATAGCCATACAAATGCTATAAAAACAAGCACCGAAATTCAGGGCAGCCATTACTCCATACCAGTCCTCATTTACAGGACACTCATTCCTTGTTCAAGACTAAAACCCACGTGCTACTCATCCCTAGCCCAGGAATAAAACAAATAAGCCACTCTTTGCATATCACACATCGCGGACAAGAAATTCCCTGGTCACTGAGGAATCCACACGAGGCTAAGCATGATTGGCCACCACTTCCCAGAATCGTTTTTGTTTACCTTTTCATTTTCCTCTATTCCCTTTTCCGTTAAGACTCCGTTTTCAATAGAGAAAAACCATTCCATACTAGCAGTAGTGGTGTGGTATTGGGCCAAGAACTATGGGGCATGGCCGAGCCAATCCCGGCTCAACAGTTGTGCCGCATAACTAATCCACATCAAAGCTCCCATCCCTAGTCTACATTTATACCTACCCTGTGCCATTATCTATTCCATCGTTTCGCCGTAGACCTCCTCCTATCCCAACCCATCTGTCATGTTGCGAAGACTATCTCGCCTCCGGCTCATTGTAGGCTCTGGCAAGATTGCTTCGATATTTAAGGAGGTGAGCAGAAACGTAAATACCTATGTCAGCTGGTAATGCGCGATTGGATTCTCAGCACCATGGCCGCTGCCCACATTGTTGATAAACTTCCGGCAATCTTCTCTAGAATTTCTACCTTTAGGCTCGAATCCATTTTTAATGGGCGAACGGCCCAACTGCAAACCCTTGAAACAGCAACGATTTGTAAGGCTGCTAAAATGGAACTCCGTCGCCAGAAAACGGGGATACATGCGTGGAGGAAAATGGATACGTGGGGTGAGCGGTGGACGGATAGGGGGACGGTTTCATTGATATCTGCTTCTGTCTTTTGCTCTAAGTTAGGTAGTAGGTGGGCGAGCAATTATAGACCGGGAGGGGTATTGTACGGAGATAGAGAATTGAGCGAGAGAAGTTTCCCCACTTCTTCCTGTGTCTCTTTGAAGGCTCCCATGTGAACAAATGAAATACAGGCACCACAAAGAAGCCCACTGCCAGCAGCCTCCGCTCCGGGCAGTTCCTTTGACTTCTGGACTGTCACCCCTCCGGGCAGCCCCTTTGACTACCGCTTGGGCATGGGTTCCGCTCCGTATAGTCTACTAAGCACCCGCTGTCACTAACTATCACTCGCTCAAAATAAAACGACAAGTGCTAACTCAATACCATCGCAGAAATCAGGAGCGGGAAAACTCAGCTCTCCTTCGCTATCTCTCAAGTAACTAAGGGTAAAAACGTGAAGTATATATCACCAACGACAACGACCGGCCACCCCCCACCGGTATGTTCCCCATCGACGAGCAAACACAAGCTAACAAACGGAGGACAAAGGGAAGACGAACTTCGTCGATTTGCCTCCCTCCCCGCCTGGCTTCCGCTCTGTTCCTCTTGCCTTTTCGCTTTCGTTCCGGTCGGCGCACAATTTTGCATCCACCGGATTTCCCCCACCGCGCACAGCTTTCCTTCCATCGGATGCACTGCCGCGGGACCCCGGAAATTTCCCGCTGAACCTCGCCCACAGCCAAACCGCGATCCCAGAAGCGCGTTCCCACAAACTAGCGTCCGTGCACAGGACAGAAACAGCATCTTCGATGGCGTCAGACTCCGTCTCGATGTCGTGAATTATGGCACGGAAGGAATCAGCGATATAATCACTATTTATCACCCATGCCAGGACTACTCTCTCAACACCACTGTAAGCACTATAAAACTTAGATCAATGCGTAGCAAATCCAATCTGATGAGAGAGCAACGTAATTACGGAGTTGACTAATCAGTTTCCTACTGTTGGGGCTGTGCGGGGAAGGTTCAAAATAGAAACTCAACACACCCTCGTGAAAAACAATGGTATAGACGTTTACAGGATCCAGAAAGTCCGATGGGTTCTTATTTTGCACAAAAGACCGGAAGCATACAAAATAGTAGGACCTGGAAAGCCCAACCTTCTCACCAGGCTCTGAAACCCAAATATGTTTAGATGTCATAGGATCGATTGCAAAAGCCTTCATGAGCATAGCCAACTCTTCTGTAGTAGGATCGCAGCAGTCCAACCACCAGACGCCTTACCATGGAAGAGCCCGTGGAGCGTCTCACCATCGCGTGGGAGGATGCAAACCTAGCGAGCGTGGATCATGACATCAGCCTCGGATGAGAAAAACCCGAATTGGCCAGGATTGCTCACACGCCTATGACGGGGAGTGGTCGGCGTGTTCCAAAATTCGGCTTTCTCATTATTGGTGGGTGACGTGGAGGACATGGGAGCCTCTTTCCCAACACTGCTAGGAGCAGGGGCAAATCCTCTTTGGCCTTGATTTGGTCAAAGCGTAGGGACCCAATGGGATCCCCACATGTGCTAATTTTCCCTCTCGTCCCACCGGGCTTCGCGCGTGATTGATCGGCTACAAATTCATACATCTCCTGAAAATCAATCCCACCCCGGACTTTGCTCTCCTCAGGAGGCAAAAAGCAAATGTCCTCCTCCGAAGTGGTCAGAGCTTCATCTCCGGAGCCATTCGCAGCAGTTTGTTCCTCAGTAAATGTTGGACGGCGTGACTTAGTCCGACGGAGGCCTGAAGCAAGATCCGCGAGAACGTGAGAGCTGATGGCGGCGGAACGATCCTCACGGCGTCTCTGCTCCGGGTTCGCGAATGCTGCGGCGGGGTTTGGGGGCGGTGGTGATCTCGTGGAAGCGACCTAAGAAGAGCGGGATGGAAACATCATAGTCATCAGGACAAAGGGCACACCTATCGTCGCGTGTGTCTTCATCCAACACAGCCAGCTTGTAGTCTCTGTGAATAAGGCTATGGGTATCCTAGATAATGAGCGAGCGATATGTCCAGACGGACACGAGCGTTCGACGATGTAGTGCCAGAACAAAGAAATGAATTCGCCTCGAACCTACGATCATCCAGCTCCGCCGCGGGGGCATTGGTAAAGTGTGGCAACTCGGAACGTGGGGTGTCCATTGCTGCTGCCTTCTCCCAGGGCCCAGTTCAGTAGAGACGGTGGGAATCCGGCACAAGCGATTGAGTAAAATAACATCGTAGTCGTAAAACGAGTTATGGCAGCCAGATAAAGAGATAGCCGCTATGATGATCGTGATGATAAATCTACCGCAAAAAATGCATCAGTGACCTCTGCTACCTTTCCATGAGTCGCCAAAGTCTGCTCACAACCAATTTCCAGAAATCGGGAATTCCTGCACCTAGGGCGAGCCGCGAGGTGCGCCCACCACACTAGTTGCAATGAATTTGACAGTCTCGAGAGTTTGGAATCACCCTCGACAAGAACGGGGGAGGGTGGGGGAGAGGGGCCGGGTTAGAGAATGAGCCGAAAGGTTTCCCCAGCTGTAACACCGAGGAATGTTCGGCGGTGTCATGGGCAGGAGCTATGATATAAAGCAGTGGTCCTTCTTCCAATTGGGCGACCAGAGGGCCAGTTATGGAGGGTTCTTGGAGGCTCTAAGGACCCAGGGTTTGTGGGCTGAGGAGGGGGAGAGCGAAGAACTTTGGAGAAATGGATCCCGCGAACTTGGTGGTTTGTGAGTTAAAAGGCCACGCAGGCACTAGAGTCCCACAAATGGTGAAATCAGCAGAGAAACTAAATGGGAATTGCTCTACTGCCCCTGACGAGGGTGGACCAGAGAGTGGTTTCTGAGTGGATGGCAGGAAAGGTGATGCCTTTGGAGATGGTATGATAAGAGATTCCTTTGTCCGGGGCCCTAAAATAGGGTTGACCCTCGGAAATAGTTAGATATCATAGTAAATGCGAAAGGGTGTAACCCACCGAGTGATTAGATTTTTTTTCAGGATGAACAGCCCGAAGCAGAGGGCAAGCAGTTGGAAGAAGGGCAAGCTCTGTTGAAAACATGACAATGATTTCATATGCGAGCCATAAGCATTCATGTGTACACGTAAGTGCTTACGCATCTTTCATGTCCTTGTTGTGCGTTGCTCCCTGAAGTTTGTTTTCTTGTGTTCTTTTTCTTCTCTTACCTGACCAACCAACACACCAAAATTCCTCCTGTCGCTTGCTTGCTGTTTTCTTCCACTCTGCACAGTCAACAAACCTACCACCTTCTTTTCTCTCTCTTGACTCCACTCTCTGTATACAAGAAAAATACTTTTCTCTCCTTGGGCATTTACTCCCTTCGGTTCCGTAAAAACCCTCGTCAATTCAACCGCAATTTCCAACAAGCTCGGTGAAGGAGTCGGTGTTCGGTTCTGGGCACAGTGAAGGTGGGAGGTACGGGTTATTTGAAGTTGTTTGGAAGTGAAGAAGAGGCGTGGAAAGGGTGGGCGGAGTGGGTGCGCCACCAAGGACAGGAGGGAGGAAGAAAAAAATGATGGTAGTATAATCCTGCTGTGGGGAAAAGCCGGACATAGGGGAGCATGTAGATGTATAGGCGGCTGTATGTAATAGTATCGGTGTCTTGGCTTGTGTGGAGGATAGGGGGTGGGTTGTCTGTATGGGGCTTTGTCCCAGTTGTGGAGTTGTATGGGGTTGTACCCAGACAGAGGTGGTGTCTATATCTGGGTTATGTCTTAATTTAGGTATTTGTTAGATCAACCGAACATCTCGTCTCCTCCACACCTCCGATCCTCTACAGGAACCCATACGTATTTCTGCTGCCATCAAAAAAAAACCAAACGTTTTCTGTAGCGTCCAAAGTATGTTAGAGGAAGGTTTAGCATCGGTCGCCCAATGTAACCAGTCTTGCCCAAGTACTGCGCATACCCGTGCGTGCGTTGGGGTTGATAAGAGCATCTCGAATTGCCAGCGATTCCCAATTGTGAATCTGCGGTACCATGCCATGATCAACTCGCTTCACCCCTCCCCCACTTGCGTACAGCAGTGACCAATAATGTATGATGCTGGTATTCCGGTCTGCCCCGAGCTATCACTCTGGACCCTTTCGTTACATCACCATTTATTGGTATGATACAGTACTTGTAAAGTCATTCCCAGAGAAGTCCAACTCCCATTTTCTGGCCATTCATTTCTTGCAAGGATAACCCCGAGCTGGTCCACCAAACCTGGATAGTGTCCATAGGGGTGTTAGGCCAACCTGGAGCGCTTGTCATTTCGCCTTTCGTGATTCAGCACTATTTCTGCTGTTACTGAACCCGCTGCAGGGATAATTTGCATTGGCTCGTATAGTCTAGCTCTTGAAAACATAACCAATAGGGACACCACGAGGAGTGCACCCAACACCCGCACAAAATTCTTGACCTGATACCAGTACAGTACTTGGAACACCCCCTTGTTCCATAAGATAATAAGACCAGGTAGGAGTCGCTTTCAACATTAATAAGCCCCCATGGTGCTAACTCTCCCATGGGGTGGGGATTAGCAGGTCTAAGTTTTGTAGGAGCCCAGGATAGCATCATTACGCGTGATGAGAGTTGGAGCATCATTGTATCACAGATAAAGTAATCCCGGAGCCGTACAGTACTGTCGAATTACTTGCACAGAAAAAGGGCTCTTAGACAAATTGGCCCGACCGGTGCGGTACTGGTACATGTACTCTAAGTGGTTGAACCACTGTAGCAGGGTTGCTCTGGAGCTCCGCCGCTTTTGAGGTTATCTAAATTGGGTTTTGTGGAGTGTGCAGAGGGTATTTATTTCAGTAGGGGTTTTCAAAGTTAAAAACATGATTTTTCAGTAATGAGTAAACACCGGAAGTTGCATAAGCTTACTAGCTGGTATCAGCAAATAGCATCCTCATGTTCCAGGTACCATATTGAGAGTCCTGGGGTAACCGAAGGCAAGGTACAAAGGGTATGGTAAATCTTACAGAAATAGTAAGAAACCTGTTTCTGTCAACAAAATATCAAAATTTGGAAGATATTTATGGGTGAGAGTACATAATTATTCCTGGGATGTGCTATGGTATTTTTTAAAATTGGTTTTTGATTTTTTTAAAATTTTTCTGTTTACAACATATCTGATTTCAAAGGTTTAGTAAAGCTGTGTAAAACCAGGGCCACTATCCGTTACCGACCTCCAGAACTCTGTCTCTACCCTATGGTATGGTAAAGTTAAGTAACAGTAAATTAACCATTTCTGTGCCTGCCAAGTTTACATAAAACAGCAAAGTAAGCTAAATTTTCACTACCTTTTTAACTTTGAAAACCCCTACTGGTAGACAGGTGTTCAACCAACTACACCACGAAACTGGGTGCCACGCCAAGTCCTACGCCCATACATAACATATCTGTTCACTCTCACTTGTAAACAACCGAGGTAAGATTTTTATTGTGACTTTTCTCCACCATCGAGGGACAAGCACCCATGGATAGGTTTTCGCACAGTTAATCCAGGTTAACCCACAAAATAATCCCTGTCTTGTACGAAAAAATATTCCGGGGTGCCTATTAGTATCCAGCTCTGCAAGGACCCACTGATCAGGGGCTCTTGCCTCAAGCTTCCACCCTTCTGGAAAATTATCATGTCACCAGTCGCTGCACAGGACTCACATCATGATTGTTTCTAGATCTCCTCATTGCTAAATACCAGTACTGGATACCGGCTGAACATTCGCACTTTCCACAGTTCTCGGTTTCGAGCCTGTTGCACCGCATCTCTCCATCCAAGCAAAAAGTCGTTGCCAAGGCCTTCCACCCCGCTTCATTCATGTGAGATTATTATAAGCCCCGCACCCATCCAACCCATTCAGAACGAATTTTCTTTACACCACACCGCCTCCTAATATCCAATCATCCTCACACCCGTAATTTTTGACTCTTCCCAGACATTTACCTTTCCGCCTCTGCCATCTGATAGCCAGATCCCTGCAGGAGGTTTCGCAATCTTTTAGCTCTTGCACCTGGGCAACGGCCACCAAGCTTGTTCGATTCATTGCGAGATTTTCTCATGCTTCACTCAGGCCTCCCGCAACCCTACAGAGGGGATTGACAGCACAGCCGCGCCGCAGATATATATCTTCAAGCGGGAAGGATAGGGCGGCAGCAGTAAAAGTGGATGTTAAGAATCGACGAATAAATGCGGGTAATTTTATGAATGAGACTGGACCCAAGCCCGCAGAGGTTAGGGTTGGGAATGGTCTAACAATGGATGCGGGGATGCCCCCTTCTAGCAGTGCGTCACTTTTTCGAGCAGGGGTTTTACCGGTAACACCGATATGGCACTCGAAATGGTTAGGGTGTACAACGAGAAGAAAGAAAGGGGGCTGCAGGAGAAGGCAATGGCTGGGAAGGGGACCGGGAAGATGCTGCGGTGTTGATCGGCATGAGAAGAAACCCGCATGTTTGATGAAAAACTGTCCCTACGTGTTAGTGCATGCTTCTACCAGATATTCGTAAACAATGCACCTCTCCAACCCCACGACAAGTGCCATGGTCAGGATTTTGATTTATTTTAAGTCATGGCGATTGCAGTAAAAGTAAAACAGTCCCGTCGCAGGCTCAGGCCTCCAAACATCCACTCTCTATAATGCTATCATCGCGGAAACAAACTGAAAAAAAATGAAAACCAGCACCGCAATAGCCGGCGTTCCGACCGAGCTGGAAACTGCAGAATATTCCTCCGTCTTCAATCCTTACTCGAAAGGGCTACTCGGTTCCCCCAGGCGAAGTGTCCGTGTCCGTGGCAGGTTGCATCTTGTGCAGGGCTTCCTCGGTATCATGACGACGGATACCAGGATTAACTGTGTATCTTCTCTGGATGATTACCGCGAGCAGTGTTCCCAACGGGCCACGTATGCCAGGCTGAACCGAAGCCGGGCCCGGCCTGCCACAAATATGGGGGATTTAGCCCGGCCGGAGCCTGCAGGCTTTGAAAAGCCTGGGCCTGGCCTGGCCGGGCCCACATATACACCGTATAGGCTAAGTACCTGCCACCTGATAGGCCGGCCCAGCCTATATGGCCTAGCTAAGCCGGACCCAGCGTATGAATACAGGCCTAAAACCCCCTCAGCTCCTTGGTTCCCATTTGGCTCATCGTCAGAGCGGCTTGCCTTGGCCCAGCCTACGGCCTGTGGGCCGGCCTATCACTGGCCTAGCCCGTTGGGAACACTGACCCTGAGTTTACCAGCGAAACTTGTGAGTGCGATCTGAAGGGGGACCCTATGCTTAGAAACGCCGGCTGAAAAATATTATGACAGGTAGTTAGTAAGCGGGACATTTCAAAACGAAAGGAATTCTTAAACAAACCGAAGAACTTGTTGAGCCCGACCATGGTCTATCCAGGTATTGATTCAGTGGGCGGTGGAGAAAAATTGAGAGGTTTGCGTGGTTGGGATGACCAGAACGGAGCCGTGGGCCAGAGGGGTGTTTTAGTATATACAGAATCTCCGCACAGTGTGGCCCAGTCCCATCATGGCAAACAATGCCGCCGCGAGCTGATGCCAAGGCACCTTTGGGGCTTTGCCCTACCCGCAGAATATCAGCAACCCAGACCTCTTGGCGAAGACATACTATACGAGTACTGTATACAAGGTAACATACCTCATGGCCAGTAGGAGCACATGGTGACACGAAACTGGCATACTTCAATGGTTTATCGCTCAATGCCAGAGTCTATTACTAGCAGATATTCTCGTCAGCCTCAATCTTAATACTAATACGCTCGTATCCTCCTCCCCTGGTCCTTCCTCCTCTCAACCTCTTGGTAGACAGAAATGTAACTAATGCCCTTTCAGGCATGATTTAAGGTGCTGAGTGTGGGTTGGATACGCAATTCTGTTGCAAAGTGGCTAGTTGTAGACACTGTGAGGAAGTAGAGCGTTTTTTATAGAAATAGTTGAGTCCTTCCGTATAATGTAATTTTAACGGAGAGGCAGTGTCCCCAACCATCCCGGGCAGAGGCTAGGGCGGACCACTGGACGGGCGTCCGTCCAGGGCAGAGTGCTCTGAACAGGGTCGCCAAAGCCGCCGAGTGCGAGGAGATGGTGGCTGAACAAAGAATTAAGTCTGTTAGTAACCGTGATAGAAGAAGGCAAAGAAAAACCCCTGCAATTGGCTGGACAAACATATTATTTTGGAGAGCATATCGTAAAGGGGGGGGCAGTGTCCCCAACCGCCCCGGGCAGAGGCTAGGGCGGACCACAGAACGGGCGTCCGTCCAGGGCAGAGTTCCAGGAACTGGCGTCCGTCCCGTGCGAAGCTAAGGACGGACGGATTGGACGCTGGGGAACACAGGCCCGGGGAGGAATGTTTTTTCTGTGATGTGATGGATGGTAGCGAGGTGAGAGAGGGAGATGGGGGGGAAGAGAGGCTTTATCTATGTGCCATCCACCCTACACCCCCTTACGATTAGGAGTACCCTTACGAAGCAAAGGACGGACGGACTGGACGCTTGGGAACAATGGCCCGGGAGGAATGTTTTTTGTTTGATGTAATGGATAGTAGCGAGGTGGGAGAGGGAGATGCGGGAGAACAGAGGCTTTATCTATGTGCCATCCTCCCTACACCCCCCCCTGAGATTCGGAGTAGACTGAGATTACAAGCGGGAGGCTGCGAGTGTTGATGAGGAGGCAATCCTGGTCCCGGCCCCTGCGAATCCGCGTTATTTCATTCTTTCATAGTTCACGATCGCTATTATTTGCACTACCTTTTACTACAAATATAGCAGAATCCTGCTCTGCATTGGTAGCTAAGATTATTAGCATAAGGTACCTTTTGAAGGGAACATACAAGTATGAGTATTCGTATCTTGGCAGTTAGATCCTCGAATGGATGTGCAATTTGTTATTGCACAACATATGATTCGTGTTAACCCAGCTTTATTTTCCCCAATTTAGAAAAACTAGGACGTAGTGTGAGAATGTCCGATCTGATCTAGCCATAGTTTGGCTGCCCCGAGCTATCTGGCCATGATACAATATCAAGCACTTGTCTTATGGGTTCTAGCTACAGATGTATTGTGGCGGGTTAGAGTTGGGGAGTTTCCTTTCGAGAAAGAAACTCGATTTTGACATGACAAACCTAGGCATAGCAGGCCTCAGAGGTACTGTCTACAAAGGATTTAACTCTAAGAAACCCATGATACCACACAGCGCGGGAGAGCTTTACTCTCCAAATATTTTACTATCACATCCTAGAGATGCGTCTCTGAGCCTCAAACGCAATATTTTATCGCAATGCGTATCTAATCTTTATGACTGCTCAGGACTCCGTCTGTGTTCCAGTGCTGCCCTCCACTTACCCAGCCCACGTAATCTTCGCTTCGCTACACGTCCCTTCCCTCTCTCTAATAACGCACCTACAAGATAGAAATCTTTACCGCTCACCCCTTTCCACTTAAATTTCTTTCTTCTCCCCCTATTTTTCAAGCACTATACTCCCTCCCTAAGCGGATATCCGCTATTCTTTGGGTGTGCGCACCCTCGACTAGCCTGCCATACCGGTCGCAACTCTTGCCTTGACCATTGTCCGCATTATTCACTTTGTCGACCACCTGCCTGTCCTGTGGGAGGGCGACTTGTCTGCACGAATTGTGGCTATGTCATTAATAATTCATTTCTTGATTCCGAAATTGCTTTTGGGGATGCTAGCAGTGGGGCTATTAGGGTTAAGGGGAGTTATGTTTCTGAAGGACAGACAGATACTGGCGGGGGTGGGCGAAGGTTTAGGAGTGGGAATAGTCTTGAGAGTGGGTCGCAGATAATTCGGAATGGTGGGTTTGCCCTGTTTTTGTTCTACTCACACCATATGTTACTCCTAATATACTCTTTTCCTTCTGTGCTGACCAAAACTTCTAGGACGTCGCAAAAATGTTCAACTCGCCGGTGCTGTCGATTGTCCTGAACGTTTTACAGATCACGGCGAACAATGGTTCACTTTATCCATTATGCGCAACTTCAACAGAGGTTGCAAAACACAACTCGTCGTCGCCTGTTCTCTATACATTGTCAGTCATCCCGAAGCGAGTCCCCACATCCTCATGTACTTCTCAGATATACTAAATCCGCGTTTTCCACTCGAAGTCGACGGGCTTCTTTGTGCTAACAGCGCTCCTCCCACATGAATGTCTTCTTACTCGGCCACATCTACCTTCAACTCGGTCAAATCCTGGAGGTCCGGTTACCACACATCGGTCTTACAGTCTACCTCTACCGCTTCGCAAGGGACCTCGACTTCGGCTACGAGCAGACTCATGTCACTCACAACGCTCTCCGTATCAGTCAATGTATGTCACGCGATTGGATGGTCTAAGGCTGTTGGCCATTGGGTATTTGTAGCGCCGCATTGATCCTCGCAGCCCGCATGATCAATTTCTGCCTTTCTGTTAAGGAGGTGGTTTACGTCGTTAAGGTAGCAGACTTGACTATCCAGAAGCGGCTGGATGAATTGAAGAATACTAAGGGCCGAGAGTTGAGCGTTGAAGAATTTAGAAATATACGGTTGGAGCAAGCGCACGGCCCACTCTGATGTAGACCGAAAGCCTCCAAGAAGCGCAAGCAGGTCCGGAATGTTAATGATGATGGAGAGGACATCGAGGATCGCCAAAATATCACTATTGTCGCTGCTTCCATATATTCAAGTGCCGCTCCCAGCGCCTCAACACTGCTTAGACTTCTAGATAAACACCGCAGGCTGGACTCGGAAAGCCTTGTAACCCCAGAACTCCCCGTCCCTTGGCCGCTCCCGATCTCCTCACTTCCCATAACACCAATCGACATCATGGACGACCACACACCACAAGGTGTCGAAAAGCCGCAAGTTGGCCAACACTCTGCCATCGCAGAGGAAGTAATCGAATCCGAGTTCGCCTCTCAACTAGATGGCTCCGCGGCATTGATAAAGGAAGAGCTCCAAGAGACCGACCTTCCAAGTGAGCGAAAATTACGCTGGCTGTACCATATCAGATGTCCCAAACAACCTCGATGGTGTCGGTGATGACTTTGAAGTCCAGAACGCCCTGCTCACCGCAAAGGGATGTGATCTGAAGGAGAAGATTCGGCTCGAGCTTAACAAGTACTACTTGCGTGAACAAGAGTACAAGGTCTTCCCTTTCTTTCCTGGCTTTTTTGAATCTCCCCTCCCCTCCCAAGGAGTCCCATAGTATGGCTAACATGGATATTATAGTAAAACGCCTAAAGAGGGAAACTGACCTCCGCAACCGTATCATCTAGACTGCCAAAAAGCGCAAGAGGAATCAACCCCGCGCCAGCAACAGCAAGGAAAAAAAATGGGTGCTACCGCTGCTGACAGTGTGAAGAACCGGCCCATGTGCAGGAGTTGTTGCAAGAAGATCTATTATAAAGGGATCGAGGGGCTTTCGAGGATGATTAAGGGAGAGAGGGAGTCGTGGATAATTTCTGTCTTTTTGGGGGTATCTAATGCAGACAGTCAGTGTGCATACATCTGGGTAGGTGCATTATAGATATTGGGCGCTTGCTATGGTTCTTAGTGGGAGATTAGAGCATGGCGTCGAAATGCCTGAGTTCATTACACATACAATTCAAGAAACTCTACTCATATCACAACACATGGGTTCACGTTTACCGGCAGCAGAGATTTAGCATGTGTTTGGTTTTACGCTTATTTAGGCTGCTGGGTTTTTCTTTGTTGTTTCACTGGACCACAGAAAATGGCTTAATCTCACATTTTCTATCCTATTCGTGTTCCCGAGTCGAGAGTTGGCACTTGTTTACCTCTATGGGGTTGGTGTAGCTATTCCAGGATGATGGGCCAATCGTTGACGTGGAAGCAGTGGGGGATACTAAGTTACAAAACGACTTCACGGAGCACAAATGTATTATAGCGGAAAGCTCACTCGGTGGGAAAAGTAGATCTGTTAAGTACTTTTAGGGGAAACTGTCCATTTACAGAGCCCCTCGCGTTTTGCTGCTATAAGCTCAAGGGGTGCCAAGAGGGCAGTCCCAAGTTCAGTTACCAGCAAATCTAGGACGCTTCCCGAAGGTTTTCAGGCACTTCACCCCTCCCTTAAGAATGATGACCATTTCAACATAAGTAACCGCTTTTCCATTAATGTTCTGGAAGAGGTTGGACTGGAGTGCAGGTTCCCTATACGGGTTGTGCGGGTGGTACAGTCCCAGATGTACCGTGGTTTGGTCGGTCTTGGAGTTGGCTTACCTCTTGGACGTAATGCTGTAAGACGCTTATGCCCCTAGGGCGGAGTCTTGTTATATAGCGAGTAAACTATCTTAATAACTGGTGTTTTGTATGAGAAAATTGAACTGTCTCAAACGGTTCTGTTCCCGCCAAACAGAGCCTAAACCTCAGGAACCCTAACCCTGACGCGGTTCATATCCTATTTATTAGCTTATGATACACTTTGACCAATTTTCCAAAGCCACGCAAGTATATTAAGGAGATACCTGACCGGACAGAAAACATAATATGAGAATGAGAAAAATAAATACAAGCAAAGAACATAATACAAACACCCTCCTCCAATATGAGTATCGCAGAATTCCACTGCCGGAGGCGTTGGTGAGGTTGTCGCTGCCCTTGTCGCTGGAGATCGTTGCCACCGATATATCCCAGTTGAAGGCAGGAGATTGTGCCAACACCCGGTGGTGCCTGCCGTTCGGTGGCTAATGTCCTCCTTCCATCTCAAGGCAGGCAGCTTCTGGTACTGGCTGGAGTATGCTTGGCGTTCAGCTGGAACCGCTTGGATAGGGATATTTGTTCGTCTCTCGAGTACTCGATATAGACCTTATATGCTTCGGATCTCCACCGGCCAAGTGGCTGAATTTCTGCCTCAGCAATGCCGACTTCTGCTGCCCAGGTTGCTGCTCCTCTTCGGAAACTGTGACCATTCCATGTTCCTGTTCCAAGACCGGCACGTATTGCTAAGTCTTGGAGTGTTTGAACTACATGTTCTCGGGTGAAGGAGAGTTGGCGATCCCTTCCAACACAGAATAGTGGAGCCCATTCTGGCCGGTGGTTATCCATCTCGATGAGCTGCCGCATAGCTCCTACCGGACATCCCATATCATGAGTTGCAGCAATTATTAGCTTAATTCCCTTTCTGAAGGGATCAGTTTTAGACGCAGGAAGGGTGAGTTCCATATGTTCCCCTCTTGCTATCAGTCTAACACTGCTTTTTGTAAGGAACCAATTTGGGAACGAGGCCCCCAGTTCACAGTCTATTGCCCGGTATGTAAACTCTCCTACCCGCAGAAAGCCGGCAAAGGCAAGGGTAAATGCAGCAAAGACTACTACCTCATCGTAGTTGGACCTCCCAAGGATGCTCAGAATGCGGAGAAGGTAGGGACGGGTGAGCGGAGTTCGCAAGCGACGTTCTGGTTCGTTATGGTCTCGCTTGATACCCTGGATTGTTCTCTCTAAGCGGGGGTCAGAGAACTCCGTACATTCTATTCCGAGATCAAGCTGGTATGATTTAATCCCAGCAAGGTAGAGCTTCATCGTCTTGACTTTAACTGTTCCTGCAAGAGAGCATAGCCATTCAATTAACCATACAGCCTTTGCCGGAAAGCAACCACCATTTGTATGGCGATAGTCGGATAAGGCACAAAAGAGTGAGAACCGGGACCTGGGGGTATCGTAGTTGCGCCTAGTTGAGGGTGCTAGCCCACGCCACAGGTAGTAAGCCGCTATTGGTGAGAGTCCCGTTTGCTGTATGTTAGAAACCCATGATCCCGGAGGTTGCAAGTAGGGGATATTAACTGCGGACAAAGGTCAGTAATTCTGTCATAGTCGAACCGTGAGAGCTCATCTGCCAAGGCATTGTCCTTGGTTGAAATCCATCTTGCTTCGAGGTCTAGGTCATATTCGGCTGCTAGTAGTAAGCATCTCCGTAGCACACTCATAGATGCTCCACGAATTGTCCGCTTTTCGAGGCCATAGGCTACTGCACGATTATCTACGTGCATTATCACTCTCGTTCCCTTCCATTTCTTTCCCCAATACAGCAGTGCTTGTTCTACGGCACGCATCTCTTTGGTGTTGATATGCTCCTTACTTCTTGCAAGATAGCCAGGTAGGGATATTGAGAAGGCTGAGTCAGGTTGTGGATGGGGTTGATTCCTGCAGGTGTAGAAAGCTCCAAGCCCCTTCGTTCCTGCTGCATCCGACCAAAGACAAACCATATCTCTTCCTTCCATCCTTATTGATCGTTCTGGAGCAATCAAGAGAACCTTTTCCCACCAGGCTAAGTCTTTCTGGGCCTCGCTGGATATCCGCCGCCGGGCATGGTGTCTTCCAACCGGAAAGTAGAGTTGCATATTGTACAGGCGTCGAAGAAACGTCCTTCCTAATGGTACTACCATTGAGACAAAGTTGAGATACCCGGTTAGGGCCTGGATGTCTAGAATCGAGAGAGAGGTCTCTCTTTTTGCCTTTTCCACCATAGACCGGGCTTTATGGAGTTTCTTGTTTGGTAGTCGCATGACCATATTTTCTGTGTCCAGCTCCACTCCTCCGAAGCTAGCAATTCTGCCCTCTTCATTTTTAGAAATGTTGATTGCTAGTCCTACCTCCGCTGCTAGTTTGGTGAATATTGAGGAGTACCTGCTTAGACTACCACCCTCAGGAATTATGATGAGAAAATCATCAAGGTAGTGAACTATCTCCGGTGGTAGGCCTTCTCTTGCCAACCAATCCTCTAAGATCCAATGGAACATTTCTGCAAACAGGTTGAATAGGTAGGGTGCTGTACGAAGACCAAAGGGAAGAAATCTTTCTGCGTAATAGGTATTCTGCCAGTGGAATCCCAGGAGTGGTACATCAAGGGGGGAAACTGGTATGTGGCGGAAAGCACTTGCGAAATCTCTCTTAAGCAGCTGGCAATTCTTGCCAACCCTTCGGATCGCGGCAACTGCCTCGTTGATATTACTATACGTAATTGTTCCATAGGATTCAGGTATTCCACTATTTATGGAGCTAAAGTCCCCCGGTGGGTAAGACAGGTGGTGAATACGTCGCTTGCAGCCATCGGATTTGTCAACAAGACCCAGAGGAGATGCAGTATAATCTGCTGGGAGGCTGGCCTGATTCAGATATTGTTCTAATTGGTGTTTTGCCAGCTCTGACGTTATATCTGCTGTGACAGTATTAGGTTCATCTTCCGCAGTCGCTAGGTTTGGGTGTATTGTAATCGAGTTCCGAGAGCTTTGGTAACCAATCCTCGCGCCAAATTGACAGATGTCTACAATGGCTGCCGTTACTCCTGGGTCTGGAAACCTGATCGTGAGCCGCTTCCACGCTTGGAGATCTAGTTGGCCAGCTGGCATTGGGGTATTGTGGGGGGTAAATAGCGGGTAATGGATATCTGTGTTCGGGCGTACTAATTGTAGGCTAACAGTAACGCTTGGAGGATCGTGTTTGGACTCTTCTGGCCTCAGGCTTGTGGCTTTATGAGTAACTAGGGGAGCTGTCACTTGAGTAGCAGTGAGCTTAATTATATAATTGAAATTGAGTAAAGGCAAGAAAGGAGTTGACAGAGTATGAGACAAAAGGAAACATATACAGAAGTTAGGCAAGGGAGGCTAACGTCCACGTAGTCCTCCACGGTTTGAATAGCTGAGCATACCATTTCCTCCACTGCATTGAAGTGCCTTGTGGTTGCTACCACAGGTAATACATACATGTTGATGACGACAATGTGCTGACCGGCATTCCCGGTAATTCCAGTTGCGACACACCTGTCCTGCTTGCTGTGATACTCCCACTGTTGGCGTTCCTCCAGTTGTGTATCCCGAGTTGTGATAGATTGTCCGTTGCTACGGTAATCGATATGCGGGTGTGGGTACTTGGCTTGTAAGTGGGTAGGCCGAGTGGGAAGTACTTTCACGAATTGGCAGTTCGTAGGGTCTGCGTGGGAATGGAAGGCTGGGTGCCAGTTTTTGGTTTTGTGTCCAAGATGGTCGTGGTACTGGATGGGCGAAGCATTTGGAAGCGATAAGCTCACAATCTAGCTGACGCCATTCGCTTGGCTGATATATGTTTTTTCCGCTTGCTACCCGTTTCCTATGGAATTGGAAATGGTACGACCGTACCCCATCCCAAGTATACTTTTCCAGCAAGTCATACAAGTTCATTGTATAGATTGCGAGAGCTGTCGCCAACTCCCCCTGTAGGGCATGTGGAGCTAGTTTGATGAGGATTCCACTATAAGCGGCCCAGGCTTTGAAGAAGCTCCCCATTCGGTATTCACCCTCTTTGCCATCTCTCTCTGTCTGCTCGAATTCTACACCACCTATGTTGATTGTCCGTTGTGATTCGGCACGCTCTTTCTCAGTTGCTAAGAGGCGGTAGATATTTGTTGGCTTGAACCGGTTCTCGATTATCTGGACCAATGTGCTTCGTTCCACCCCAGGAAATAATGTTTCCACCGATTCCGCAATCCCAGATACGCTCTCAC